AGCCTCGTGTCTGGCGATTCGACTCCACAAAGTGCGCCCCGTCCAATCGCCACGACCTGCGTTGGCGCCCCCAGGGAGTCGCAGCATCTTGTTCCAAACAGACGGGGCTAGAGGCAAAAGCCACGATGCGGTCGTTGGGGACACTCTGAGACTCGCGAGGCGTCGCATCCCAGTGTCTGAGAAAAATGATGACACTGCCAATGCGATCTAGGACACCGGCGCGGACGTCGCGAGTGCGACCTCACGGGTACCTCGCGAGGCGATCGAGCCATCAATGATGGCGGTCTTGTCATCAAACGCTTCAAAGACATGTGGGTGGAGCACGGCCAGCCCACGTGCTGCGATGAAGTTATCGAAATGCGCCGTCCACATGTCGTCCGTCGCGCCCGCGCCCGGTCCTAGGACGTAGATGCTTCGACTCTCGCGCCTATTCTGTCGAACCCTGTCCTCTCGTCTCAGTCTGCGTCGCGCGTAGCTCCGGGGGAGGTATCACCGACGGGCTCAAGTCGGCAGCTCTTTAGTGCCTAGCCCACTCTTTGATCCTGTCTCTCAGGACTCTGACCCCACTCCTTGGTCACCCCGGTCATGCGTGCTTCTTAATCACGCGAATCGCGAAGGCACTGGCTCCGCCACCATCATGGAGCAGGCCCGCCTCGCCGCGTGACCCGTGGAGTGCGCGGCGATACCACCGGCTCGGCAGCGCCTCGACGCGCGGTTTGACTCTTGCTTGGTCACCGTCGACAAATGACGCCCAATGGGCCTCGTCGTCGACCGCATCTCCGAGCGACGCGAACCACTGAAGGAACGCATGCCAGACTTTGGGCTCAGGCGAAAATCCCCAGCTTCCGACATGCGGAAAGAGGAACACGCTGTCTCGCGGGAGGTCTGGTTCAAGTTCAGCAAGTTTCTCATTTGCATGTCCGTGCGCAGTGGCACTTGTCATGGGACTGCCAGCAAGCTCGCGCGGATATGCATCAAGGCGCGCCGCCTGACGCTGAAGTGAGATACCCGCAAAGTCACCACTCGTCGCATACGCGTCGTGAGCCGCCGATAGGTACTCGAACCTGCGGGGGTGGGGAGACGGAGGCCTGTGCACGCGCCATACATGCGCAGCTCCGGCAACGCGCCAGGCCGGGGACAATTCGATATCGTCCTCGAGGATCACCACACGCGTGAACTCCTCGCCAAAGAGTCCCGGATCCGAGCACGCCAGCCACATCCCTCGCACGCCACGCTGCTCACGCGATGGGAACACGCGAGCCTCTCCGCGGTCCCACCGGGTTCCCGCCCAAATCCGCGCCAGCGCAATCACGGCCCGCCGTTGTTTCCGCTCGTCCGCACTGGCGCTCCGACCAAAAAGCCAGCCCCCCGATCGAGCCACTTGATCAACGTGAATTTCCACGTCTATTTTCGCCGTCTCCGGGTACGACGCAGCCTCCAGCGACGAAAGAAGGCGTGAGAGGGACTCGGTCCGTTTCTGAGCCAGCACTTTGACTGTCAACTGTCTTAACTCAGCGGCCAATCCCACGGGCAACAAAGCGAAAAAAAAGAAACTTCTATGCGAATTTAAAGAGAAACGAATGAAGCGCATGGTAACTGCCCGATCAGTTTTGCATCAACCGGAGACTTTGGGCTACGTGTGGGAGCTGCGAGCTCGGGAAAAAATTTCCGTCCACTAACCTGAGCACAGAAGGCACGTCGCAATGGTATTACATCAGGGCAATGTAAGTGATGATAATACAAGCTAACATTCTACTCAGGTAGATCCCCTCTTTTAGGTTCGCCCCAAGGACGGAAACAACCATAGGGCTAGAGCGCCCCATCGAAGTTTTTTAGAGAGACAGAGAGCTTTGTACCTTCCTAGTGGCTCGCTGGTACAGAGCCACTCAGGTCCTTCCCTTTTCCCTTAATACTTTCTAACCCTGCTATAGTTGCGTCCCGCACTGTATTCCAAAATACAGAAGAGCACCATGGAAAGATGTCCATTCTGGTCGAGTGGATTATGGCAGGTACATGATTCGATCTCTGCACCTACATAATACAATTACAGCAATATTTGCGCTACTCAAATACTACAGAGGTGAGGGAAGCAGTCTCACCTCCACTAACCTTCAATTTGAGACTATGGCGAATCTTGCTCGAGACTCTAATTCAGGCTATGGCCTACTTTACCACTGAACCTGGCCCGTCTGCAATCCGTCTGCGGAAGATCCCTGACGGTCCGTATAGGGCGAGCACTCTCTTTTTATTTGGTCGTCGCGCGGCGCTAGCAGCCGATGCGAGGCCGCACATGACTCGCTTCGGAAACGGAAACGTCGAGCTGAGCCTTCTTGGATGCGCGGCACTCAGAGGCCAGCTTGGTAGCATTGCAGTGGTGGTCGATGATGACTTTCGACATGGTGAACTTGTGGCTCTTGCAGCCTGTGCCAAAAAAACAGTGAGCCAGAAAAACCGAATTTTTCTCAATCCCCCAGCCCCGGTCGACCCGAAAATCATTTGTCGGAAAGGAGATAACAATCAGTCAGTAATCGGTGTCTCTAACAATCATTTACGCATCGAGTTATCTGAAGAAAGTTTCTCGTCCCTGCTTGCAGCAGGTATTAAAATTTTTTGGATCTCGCTTCGGGACACCAGAGAGGGCCTGAATGGAGATTGGGAAGTGAACTGGGAATCCTTGCAAAATCGAATAGTTTATTTATCTGCTCAATTTAGATCGTTTTGGCGGGTGATCTTCGGTCATCATCAAGTCCTCAAAGTCGATAAAATCACCGAAGAACCATGCTATCGCACTGAAGTAATTTAAAAAAAACTCTGCTTCCGCCCTGAAGAGAGCGGGTTGCCACGAGCGTGCATTCCAGACCGGTGAGAGGGCGTGGACGCGAAGGCCTGTCTTTGCCACACCTTCATAGAGGGCCCACTGCCTATTGGGTCGTCGCGCGTCACAACATTCACACTTATATCTACTCAGTAACGTTCGCCTTCGTTTTCTGCGGCCAGGGTACGCTTAGTGCGAAAGTGTGACGCAGGTTTGGCACATAGCGGGCTGGCGCTGGAAAGATCTTGTGAGAGACTTGTCCACCGTTGGATCACCAATCTTTTTTTGAAGGTCCTTGAGATAGAGATCGAGCCAGTGAGTGAGGAAGTTGAAAACGCGGTCCCTCGCATGGTAAAACACAACGCCTGCATTGAGAAGCCCAAAGGCGTCGGGCATGCCCATGGCCTACAAGCAACCCGGGATAACATGTGTCAGCTGGGCATGGAGCCAGCTCTTACCTCGTCGCCTAAGAAGCCTCGAAGCGTATGATATTCATGTGCAAGTAGGATATCCACGTATTCGAGGAGTCCTCCAACGCCAGGTGCCTCGTCTAGCGGTGCACCGCGTTGGACCTCCGTCATGTTGAAGAGGGTCTGGAGGTCAACGCACGGAAACGTGTCACTGTCGAGGAAAAGGGACTGTCGAAAGGGCGTCGCGAGCATGGCGAGGATACCAAGAACGCGGCCCTCGATGCCACGGCTCACACGGGTTCCAAGGCCCGCAATCTTTGCGGTGTCTTCACGGAGCGACCTCCAACGCGCCGTGACGTGCTCCGGGATATCCACGGGCGCCGCACCGGACACTTGGAGCGTCTCGATATCGATAGACGCGCAGCACCAGCCGGGACGCCGCAGCGCTGTTCGCCGCGCGCGACAGTAGTCGATGCTTGCGCTGTCGACGACAATGACGAGGGCATTGCGCTCGTCAAGGCGAAGCGCACCTGAGCGCGGGAGACGACGGCGGCGTCAGAGGAGTAACCCCCCCCCAACCCTTCCCACGTGCGCTGCACCCTCTGGTCCTCCCCAACAATCGCGCGGTCTAGGCGCAGCGGTCGCGCTCATCATCGTCAAGTCGATGTATTCGGGGCCCATCGCTGCGTAAACGGCGCCACGCCTCGACGAGCGCACAGAGACGCTACTTTCGACTCTGGAGTTTGTGGTCCGGCGGGAGTCGCCTTCGCCTCCGCCGGGGGCCTCACAGCCACAGCGCGGATCCGTCGCGGCAATTTCGGTGCGTGCAGCCGGGGTGAACACATGAACGCCGTCGCTCACCAGCTCAAAGCTCGAAATGACGCCTACGTGATCATGGTAGGCGCCCTTTGTGACAAGGATAGCTCGAGTCCTGGATGGTACGTTTTCTCTCGTCGTGCGATAGTGTATAATCCAGGAGCACAGGCCTGGAGACAGCACACCAAAATGAGACGAAGAAGCGCCGACCGACTCGATAATTAACACACTGACATCCCGTAAGAGATGACCCATTTTGGGCCTTCGGAACCCCGGAAAGCGCGGTCGTATATCGCCGTCGCCGCGAGGCTACTAGCATCGCGTCCTGCCGCATAGATGCGGCGTTTGTCGATTGCGGCGTTGTAAGCTCCTGATGCGAAGCGATAATGTGCGACCTGTGATTAGTGCGAAACCCACTTTGCTTTCAAATGGAATCGACTCACTGCCTTCAGGGGCCAAAACTCAACACCGGCGGCGCTACGTCATGGTACGAGCGCTCGTCCGGCGGCCCATTCCGGACATTGTGAGATGTCTTAAAACGAACCTTCGCCCCAGTCGTCGGATTTATGACAGGCACAAGGATCCATTTCTTGTCGTTCCCTCCGAAAACGCTGTGTGTTGCACGACACAGGCGCGGAAATTGGTCCCAAAGCGGGATGGCCCTATCAATAGCCTTGAGGCTCCAGTCGGCCGCAATCCGGTCGATCATCCGCCCCCGGAGGAAACCACCGCGTGACTCGACGCTAAAAGCCACGGCCGCGGGCGATGCATCGAAGAATTCGTCCAGGTCAGCACGGACAACGAGCGCATCCTCGGCGAGCTCGTCCATGAACCTACGACAGTAGCGTCGGTGGCGCTCGCACCGCCCAGCACACGGACATGCACGCATTGACTCGCTTTGTCTTGGCTAACGCAGAGAACGACTCCGTGGATAAGACGACATTTGCGTCAAAGGCTGAAGCACCAAGGGCCGCCCTCAAGACCGCCGTGGATGCATTCCGCTCGACAGCAAACGTGGGCTCTGAGCCGTTATCATGAAGAATAATCCGCGCGCGGCCGGCGACAGTCAGCTCCAAGCCAAGGGCGGAGTACCATCGCAGGAAGTGCGACAGCAACGGTGCATCACGGGCCGAGACCCACGCATAAAAATGTGCGCGACGCAAGACCGAATTCGGCCATCGCCGCGGTGCACCAGACCCAAGCGTCGGACAGGTCACCCGGCCGGACGCAAGTTCCACCAAGATCATGACAAAAGATCCGAAGGAGCGCGGCATTTTTTCCGACTAAAGGTAGGCCTCAAAAAATCACGCTCCAGGCTGGATGGCGAGACCAGACTCGCAAGACTAACAACCCATACGCAACTTTCCCACTAATCTGCACACCGTACCATTAAAATTTTAAAAGGTGTACAGTATATTATAATAGGTCTCTTGCTACGGACCGGGGGGCAACACCATTCAAACATGATCTTATTGTCCGAGAGACGTCGGGGCAAAGTTTCCTGGCCACCCGATTTTTATTGCAGCACTTCTGATGCGTTTTCGGACATGGGGCGACGCCCCAGAGCCACTCGTTCAAAAATATCTCTGCAATAAAAATATGAATGGCTTCGGACAAAAGCTTAGAGCCACTCGTTCCAAAGTCGTGCTTGGATCGTATAGCCCCCCCGTCTACGGCTAACTTAATTCAATCGGCATACAACTATTCTATTGCATCGCATGCAATGTTGATCAAAGCTCTGGCTTCGGGGCGTAATGCGTGGCTTGGACAAACAGAAAGAATGATCCTGCCGTGCTTTGACTCAGGTCCACCACGTATTTGATATGAGCCTGTAGTCATTTGCATTAGGTCGCTGAAGTATATGTGTCTGTTTCAAGAGTACGTTTGGGTCGCTGGCAGGATAATTTTGGAGAAGATACAAGCAAAAGCTGAAATCACCTGCAAGCAGTGTTTCTCGCTGTGCAAGAATCATTGTCAAGCAGAAGTGGCATAGGAAATCAACACGTGATATTTCAGAAAGTATCGTATCCCACAACCTGATTGTGTCAATGAGCGTGAATTCTCGTGCCAGCAGCGTCGTGATCCACCGCAGGGAGTAGTAAGATGGATCTAGCTGATTTTTATCCAAATGTCGCCATAGCTCAGGATCATGCTGTTGAAGCAATGCATTTAGTCTACTCATTTTGCCGCTTAAACCGGCGTCTGAGTTGTCTAATGAATGGATATATACATCCCGCATCTCTGCCATAATATTAGTGAAGCAAAAGAAGGCGTCTGGTTCTGCATTTGCTCCCCATTCCTCATTTGAGTCAGATGCGAGTACATAGAAGATTGTGCCAAGGACCTCGTTCATTCCTTGGACATAGCGCACTCCTGGGTTGAGCTTTGCGTAGATGAACAGAATCCGCTCCATCGACTGCCGCCGAAGGGTGCCTCCCTCAAAAAAATGGTGATCAGGGTGTGTTCTCATGATGTCTTTATGTATTTCTTTTCTCAAAACATAATCGTGCTGCTTTTGAGTCCACATGGAGGATTGATGCGTAGTCATCGGTCCTTGGTAGATATCCATCACAACAGAAGCTCGACTCGCGACTTCGTGGTCTGCTTGCGCCCAAATTGAGTGGCCGGACTCACAAATGGTGAACTCTCGAACAAACTGATGGTAAAGAGCCCTTTGACAGCGCACGTGAGAGACCCACTCCCTACGATCAGACGGAAGGTATTCGAGAAGAAGTCTCCAGACCAATGGCCTTAATGGCGACGATTCCGACAAACCTCGCGAGGCCACTTCACGTAACTTGCTTTTGTTGATAACGTCCGTGGCGAGGACATCACTAACGCAGCCAAGATCAGATATCCCTTCAGAAATAAAACATGTATTGTTTCCTGGTCGAC